GGTAGTGGGGAAAAGTAGTTACAAATACCAGCTCTGACCATGTGACCATTACAGAAACCAAAACTGTAATTGTCATGAGTATTCCTCCTTATTTTGTTATGAATGTGGGTGTGTATTAAGCAAATATCTTTGTTTTCTTCCCTCTCCTATTTCCTTATTACGCAACAGAAGATATATTGACTTTATATCACAGTACTGAAGTATTGTTCATTTTACAGCATAGAATTTTAAGCTACAAGATATCAAGAAGAGTAAAGGTCACTCAAAAACTTTATGTTCTCTTTGGGGAAGGGGTTGGTGTATTTCCGTTGTCTGCTGGATAATTTTATCATGTTAGGTGGAATTATAATCTTGTAATAGTATTTATTTTAAGATTAAGTATAGTCTAAGGAGATGTGCATGGGTGCCAGGTTGACAAAGAACGGACTTATGATGGTTGATTTTATGTATCATCTTGACTGGGCCATGGGGTGCCCAGATATTTAAACATTATCTTTGGGTGTGTCTGTGAGGGTGTTTCTGGATGACATTGACATTTGAATTGGTAGACTGAGTAAAGCAGATTGCTCTCCCCAGCGTGGATGGGCGTCAACCAGTCTGTTGGAGGCCTGAATGAAATAAAAGTCTGAGTTAGAAATATATATATTTTTCTGCGTACCTGCTTTCAAGCTCAAACACTGGTTTCTCCATACTCAGACTTAAACTGAAACTTATGCCGTTGGCTCTCCTGGTTCTCAGACCCTCAGACTCAGACTGGAGCTTGCATCATTTTCCCTCCCAGTTCTTAATCCTATGAACTTGTACTGCAGCTGTGCCATTGGTTTTCCTTGGTCTACACTTTTCTAACTGCAGATCTTGGACATCTCAGCTTTCATAATCATGTGAATCAATTCCTTAGAGTAAAAAGAATTTATTTAGGTGCATATGTATCCCAATTGTGATATTATACTATAGTTTTTCCAAAACATTTCAAAATGTTACCATTAGGGGAAATCATATTATTTCTTACACCCATATGTGAATTTATAATTATCTCAATAAAAATTTGAATTAAAGAAAATATAGACAAAATAAAGACTTTCTCATATAAATAAAAACTGAGAGGAGATGATGCTTCTTTCAGACTAAACTTTGTCCTTAAGGCTGAAAGGATATGAGACCAGATGATAATTTGGATGCACAGGAAGGAATGATCTTAACCTATGTTTCCTTAGAAGTTATATATGTTATGTATAGTACATGTATATATATTATAGCAGTGTTATAATATATATACATGTAATATATATAGCAACAGAAGCACAAAGGAGGGGCAGGAAATAGAGCTATACTGGTGCAAAGTTACTATGTTTTACTGGAATTAAATTAATTGCCTGATATAGGGTGCTCATAAGTTGTTAGTTCTCTTCTTCCTTCTAGAAAAGAGAAAGGTCATTTGGAGGTTAGAAACTGGAGGGTGAAACTTTATTCTATCAAAATTCCACCCTTATTTACTTCCTCCATTCTTAAACCAGACAAATTAATGGGTCTCAATCAAAAGTAAATTAATTGGGGCTGGGTGTGGTGGCTCATGCCTGTAATCCCAGCACTTTGGGAGGCCAAGACGGGTGGATTACTTCAGGTCATGAGTTTGAGACCAGCCTGGACAACATAATGAAACTCTATCTCTACTAAAAATACAAAAATTAGACAGGCGTGGTGGTTCACATCCATAATCCCAGCTACTCAAGAGGCTGAGGCAGGAGAATCGCTTGAACCCGAGGGCTGAGGCTGCAGATTGCACAACTGCACTCCAAACTGGGCAATAGAATGAGACTCCTTCTTAAAAAAAAAAGTTAACTGGAAGGGCAGCGGGCTTGAAATATTACCTACAGTGTACAGAGTTCACTTTCAGGCCCAGGCTTCATCGCTATGCAATATGTCCATGTAACAAACCTGCAAACATAGCTCCTGAATTTATTAAATTAAAAAAATAATGTAATGGGGCTAGGTGCAGTGGCTCATGCTTGTAACCCCAGCACTTTGGGAGCCAAGGCAGGTGGATCATGAGGTCAGGAGATCAAGACCATCCTGGCCATGTTGAATCCTCGTCTCCACTAAAAATACAAAAATTAGCTGGGCATGGTGGCGTGTGACTGTAGTCCCAGCTACTTGGAAGGCTGAGGCAGGAGAACTGCTTGAACCCAGGAGGCAGGGGTTGTGGTGAGCCAAGATTGCACCACTGACTCCAGCCTGGGTGACAGAGTGAGACTTCATCTCAAAAAAAAAAAAAAAAAAGGAATGATTTTTCACATACATGCATATGCATATGGGTGACATAGGGTTAGTAAGATTTCTATGATGATTATAAGTGCTAGATAAGTAGCTAGAGCTGCCGTCTACCTGCTCTAACACATTTTTAATAAATCTTACACTTGTCCTCCCCTCTCTGCAATTACAGTAACACTACCACCCAGATCTCCTGAAAAAGAGCCAATTCACTGAGTCATGACCAAAGATCCCCAGGGCAACCTGAGTACAGAATGCCTGCTTTTCAAGGGCCAGGTCCTGTTGCAACTACCCAGGAGGCCTGTTTGGCCAAACTAGTACAGGCACACCTCATCGAGCCCCTCACTGCACTGGATCCTTATCATGCTGTTAATGTTGGAAATATTATAATTTTTTAAAAAAGTGTTTATATCTATTGCTCTTCTGAAGGGTTTCCTAACCTTGACATGATTAACATTTGATGCCCAATGTGAGGGCTGTCCTGAGCCTTAAGGGATGTTTAGCAACATCTCTGCCTCAACACACTAGCAGCTAGCAGGTGCCCCACCTTGGAGTTGTGACAATCAATCCAAAATGTCTGTAGGCATTGCCAAGTATCCTTGGGGGCAGTATCACTCCCTCCCCTGCTCTCCTGAATAGTATGTTTAAAGGTAGCTTCTCACTTCCTGATCCATTGCCCCTGAGGAGGCAGCACTGTAGGAAGCTCTCAGCCAAGGAGCATCAATAGGCATCCCTACCTTTCCTCTGCCTGAATGACAAGTGACAGTCTATTCATTTCTTCCTTCTACCATTATTTTGTTTTCTGATGAACAGATTTGATCACCCAAGAGGGCTAAGAAAGGAGATATCAAGGATAATGCTGGTGGACCCCTCAAGGTGCAAAAGAAGTTGTACCACAAAGATGTTGAAATGTAGGCTTCGGAGGTGCCTTCGAGGAAATAAATGTGGGGTAAACAGTAAAGATCAACAGATAATGAGCAGGTTGACCAACAATTGTATAAACTATAGTTAGAGAAAGCAATGGCCAAGGAATGAGTATCATGACTCCAGGGAATTTAAACAGAAGGAAAGCTACAAGTAACGTGCAAAGGTGGGGAAAAAATTTCTGTAGGAACTAAGTATGATGCTGATCCAGTTGGTACCCCCATTTTCAAAAAAGTGTCATTGCCACACACACACACACCTTGCAAAGGGCATGTGCCTGTGTGTGCATTCACAATGTGTGAGACATTTGAATATTTATTGAACACTTGTACCAGTTCTGGGAAAGTAGGGTAAAGTAACATAATCAACCCCAATTTATAGATGAGAAAACTGAGGCTGGAAGAGGTTAAATGACTTGCCCAGCTCAAGAGCAGCTAGACTTGAATCAACAGGCCGAGAAAGGAGTACCACGTGATCTCACTTTTATGTGGCAGGGACTGGGGGGTGGGAAGTATTGGAAAGGCATTGGTGTATATATATATAAATACACATACACATATATATTTCAAAACATTATATTTTACATCATAAATATATAATGTTCCTCAACTTATGATGGGATAATAGCTGAATAAACCCGTCATAAGTAGACAATATCAGAAGTTGAAGTGCATTTAATACACCTAACAAACATTGTAGCTCAGCCTCACCTACCTTATACTTGCTCAGAACATTTACATGAGCCTACAGTTGGGTAAAATCATCTAACACAAAGCCCTTTTATAATGAAGTGTTGAATGTCTCAGGTAATTTATTGAACACTGTACTAAAAGTGAACACAGAATGGTTGTATGTGTACTCAAAGGACTGTTGTTACCAACTGTGCATTGCTTTTGCACTATCACAAAGTCAAACAGTGTAAGTCAAACCATTGTAAATTGGGGACTGCCTTTATACAACTTATATTTCTCAATTTAAAAATAAATAATAATAAATAAATATATGATAGAATGCTTTTTGAAAAACAATAACTGGACCCAACCCAACCTCAGATTTTAGATCTGAGGCTCACTAACTCTCACTAAAGCATGCTGGCTTTGTCTTTCAAAAAAACTGGATCTGCGGAGAATCAAGGAAAGATGACAGGTGGGAATGTGCTGGATTCTGGGGTGTGTCTCTAGATAGCATGACCTTCTGAACCAGACAAGCCAGGCCCTCCTTCTACATGGTGCTTTTGATATTTCTATTAAAATATACTGAGTCTGCTCCTCCTCAAAGTGGGTGACTGTTTCTGACTTCCAATGTGCTTGTGTGTGTTGTTCCCACAATTTTCTGGGAGTACCCAGATGGGATGGGGGCAGCATCTAATACTTTGCCTGGTGCAGTGTGGGTACTTGATGAATCTTTGTTGAATGAATCAGTGATACGAGGGCATTGGAGCAGACGGATCAGGGTCTCAGTCTTGGCTCTGAAAATTGCTGTCCAGGTAACAATGGTCAAAGTAGCATAACCTCCTCTCACCTACAACATGGGAGTTCTAAGTGTTTTGGGATCCCTGCGTAGACTTAAGGGAAGCAATGTGTGAAGAGTATTTTGCATGATGCCTGGAAAAGAAAAGGTACTCAAAAATGGTTGCTATCCTTTTATTATTGTGAAAGGGGCTTCCACGCTGAAGTGGTGCTAAAGTAGCCTGGGTGGCCAGATCAGATAAGGCTAGGAGGAGAAAGACAGAGCTGTGCTTTGGCTGGACACTCTGTTCCAGAGGCAGCCCAGCCCCATGAAAAGCCTGAGTTCAGGGTGAATGAGCTGGATGTGGGGTCAGGCTCCTCCCCTTGGTCTTTTCTCCCTAAAATGGTAACCCCAGGCTGAGCCACTGGCTAAGTGGCACCATGCAGCTTCGGGTCTCTCTCTCGTTTCTCCTGATTCTCACTCTCTGCCGAGAGCTTCGATCAGAACTAAGACAAGGTTGGTATGAAATGCGGGATCTCAAAGAGTAGGCTGGGAATCAGGATGGGGGTGGGGGGTAGGGGAGGCAGTACAGCATAAAGAGAGCCCATTTCTTACCTTACCAGATTGAGAGTCGATTCAATTCAATTCACTTCATCAGACATATGTTGGGCACATAGTATGTGCCAGGCACTGTGCTAGGTGCTGAGGTTAGAGCAAGGAGCCTAAGACCCTTCCTTTGTGAAACTGAAATTCTAATGAGAGAGAGACATACAATAGCTAATACACATGATAGATGATCAAAGTGCTATAGAAAATAAAATAAGTTAAGTAGGAAAAGGGGCCTTCAATGTCTGCGGTGGGGCAAGGAGAGGTTGAGAAAGGGAGATCAGAGCCAGAATTTGAGGGTAAGGGACTTAGCCAAGTTAGATGCACCTGTTGGAAAAGGGTCTTTCCTGGACCACTTTCTCTGTGGAAGCTCGGAATCTGCAAATGGAGGCGGGGAGACCAAGTGCAGTTATATCTAAGATAATCTGGAAGTGGGGACAGTAGGCAGCAGTTCCCAGATTTTTAAGCAGCCAGTAGGATTCCCTGTATAAAAATGCAAATTAGAATACACAAAAGGATAAGAAAAAAGGTAAAAAGTTATTGAAATCTTACCTTCTGGAGATTATCGCTGTCAGTGTACCAGTGAACATCCTTGTACGTGCAAGGATAGTTCTCTGCATGTATGTACATGGAGCTATTAATGATAGATCCCTAGATATAAGTGGAACCCTAAACCTCCCAATAACTCTGTAGATGAGTGGTTCTCAAAGTTTGTCCCCTAGTCCAACAGCAGCAGCATCAACTGAAAACATACTAGTTCCCAGTTCCACCTGATCAGAAACTCTGGGGGTGAGTCTCTCTAACAAGCCTTCCAGATGATTCTGATGCACACGCAAGTTTGAGAACGTCTGCCTAAGTAACACAAATCTAGTGGTTTATAGGATGAGCACACCTGGAGTCACACACACCTGGGTTCTAGCCCTGGCTCCTCTACTTACAAACTCTGTGCCTGAGGAACATCATTTAGCCTCTCTGAGCATCAGTCTCTTCTTCCGTAAAAAAGGTTAATCATCTTTTCTGCTTTATTAATCAAATAGTCTGATATATGTCAAGCTCTTAGCATAACATAGCTTTTAACAGATTTTTGTAAAGCCCTCAGAACAGCTTCTGTCACACTCAAAACACACACACACACACACACACACACACACACACACACGGTGTCATTATCTGCTTTACATAAAAAAGAAACAAGTTAAGTGATTTTCCTTTGGTTTAATGGAATGGAAAGCAGAGAAGCCTCAGAAAGATGGAATGGAAGAGCTGAAAAAATTAAGAGCAGACTCCAGTCCCTACAGAGTCATGTGTAAGGGTCTAAGGGCTGATGCTGCTATGACTAGGATTTCTTAGGAATATGCCAACCTGCCCCTCCACCTCCCACCTGGACTGGACAAGCTATTCTGCCTCCTTCCCATTCTCCTTCGCCCTTAGCATCAGCCTTGCAGGTAGGAGGATAAGACAGAGCCTGAACCTTTCCAAGCCTTAGGCTGCTGCTTGAAGTTTCACCACAGGTATGATCATTCATCTGTCCATTCACTCATTTTACAACAACCAAGATGGATGGAGAACCTACAAGCCTTTCTAGTTGAACAATGCTGGGTTTGATCCTTGGTCCTACTGCTTCCTAGCATGACATTAGGACAGGTACCTCATTTCTTTGGCCTTAGTTTCTTCATGTAATGTTGAAGTTCTACTAGCTACCTTGAAGAGTAAAACTGCCCACAGGGTGACAGAAACATAAAAGGAGGGTACAAAGAAACTTTTAATCCTGCCCAGAGGAGCTCGGGGGGTGGGGGGCGGTGGGGGCAGCAGCAGCGATTTTCTAGTCACAAATATTTGCTGAGAACTAAGAACTAGGCCTGTGTTAGGCACTAAGGCTGCAGAAATGAGTACAAGGATTCTTCCCTCTTATCAAGATCTTCTTGGTTAAGAAACAGAATGATTAAGAGCAGCTACTATTTATTGATTTATTTTCTACTTATCAATGCTTTTCACTGATAATCTCTAATCCTTCAATAAACAAAAAATGTGGATATTACACCTGCATTTTTGCAATGAAGGAAATTGAATGTCAATGAGAGAAGTCATTTGTCCAAGATCACATAGCTAGAAGATAACTGAGACAAGTTTGAAGCCTGCTCTTAGATTCAAAGCCTATCCTCTTTCTATCATAGGATATCAATTCTAGAATTGATTATGAGACAGCAGGTAGGAACCTGAGGATCTTTCTGGTCAAATTCTATAAAATCAGATCTGGAAGGGCACTCAGAGATGAGGGAGTTCAATGCCTTCATTTTACAAATGAAGAAATGGAGACTCGAAGAAGTTAGGCTTATACAACATCACACAGTAGCAAGTGGCTGCACTAGGACCTCAATCCACTTGAGTTGCATTCTTAAGCCTGTGATTCTCACCACATCAGGCTACCCTCAGAAGTAAAAATATCAACCTCTGTGTAGACCGATCAGGCCATGGCTGGGTAGAAAGAGGTACAGAGCACAGCTGTCATGGACAGCCTCACAATTGTACCTAGGGCTGTCACAGCTCCTGGCATATGAGGCAAACTAGGGGAAGGTGATGGGTTTCGTCTCCTTCAACCACTTTCTCTCTTCAGACAGTATCAAGGATCTCCTGCCAAATGTATGCAGTTTTCCTATGGAAAAGGGTATTTGTAGAGCCTACTTTATCCGATGGTTTTTCAACTTCGAAGCTGGTGAATGTGAGTCATTTGTTTACGGAGGGTGCAGAGGCAACAGCAACAACTTTTTGAACAAAGAAGAATGTGAGAAAATCTGCAAGTTCACCTGATTTTCTAATAAGAACACAGCCAGCCCCCAGGAATTTGGGATTGCTCTGAGGGCCATAGAAGGCTCTGTGTGTGTGTGTGTGTTTGTGTGTGTGTGTGTGTGTGTGTGTACAAGAGATTCATTCCTCTACTCCTACACTTATTCTCCCTGATGTGCTCCTCAAAATGCTCCACCTCTGTGCCTGAAATTCTATAAACATTGCAATCATGTTTAAAATCTCAAGACCTCCTTTTTAAAACATGCACGTACTTACAAATGCACTGAGGAAATTTAGAGCAGCCATTCACACCTTTGTATGAATTACTGCTTAACTCACTGGGAACTAAAGGTTTTGAAGGAGAGAGGGTGTAGATTTAGAAATCTGGGCATGATATTGGAAAGGCCTACATTGGACAAGGAGGGGATTTCTGGAGTCTTGTGAAATAAGAAACAAGGAAACAACAGAAACCAGGGAAGAAAGGGAAATTGGGGAGAAACTGAAGATGTTTAAACATTTTAAAAAATCATACTTTTTTTTTAATGAAAGCTGTTATCTACTAAGGCTAAACCACATCTTCCTGCCAAGGGCTGCGTCAGGAGAGAAGTGAGGAGCTCTAGTCCTGGAGCCTTTGGTTTGTTTTAAGCAACACCAATTACAACAACTTGGAGGGAAAGGAGAAAAACACAGGAATCATTTCATTTATTGATTTCAAGAGGGCCCAAAGATGGGGAGGGATTCTTTAAGATCATAGGGTGGGAATGAAACAGAGGCATCCTTGGCCCCACCAAAAGGCCCTTCCCATTACATTGTAATCCCTCCAATCCGTAATTTTTTACAGACTTCCTCTGGGATAGAGGGCAGATCTGAAGAGGGAGCGTTCATGTGGGCTCTCTCCTTTATTTACCACTCTGATTTAGGGTCCTCCCCCAAAATCCAAGTCAGCTGCTTCCCATTGCCCAAGGAACAATAACTCCAAGCCATTATGCCAGGCCCCATGCTAAGCTCTTCATAAAGAATACACATAAACCTCAGGGTAACTCTAAGAATCACATTACTACTCAAAGGGTGCTCCAGGAACAGGTAGCTTCCAGGTCACGTGAGAACTTGTTAGAAATGTGGAATCTCATGACCAGTATTGTAACAAGATCCCTGGGTGATACATGGACTCACTCAAGTTTAGGAAGTAGTGGTAAATGAGGAAACAGGGATACAACAGATCAGTAATGTTTCAAGGCCACACAGTTGGAAAGTGGCAGAGCTGCTCATTAAGCTCACGTCAGTACATTTGCAAAGTCCCTGGTTGTAATGGCTATGCCACACTCTGTCAGATCTCAGAATTTCCCCCATGGGTGATTTCCAGTTAAAGGTTTTATCAGAAAAGCTTTAAAACACCGAGTTATGCTGCCAAGACAACAAACACATCTCCCTTTTGTGGAGGACACCGGGAAGCAGGATTCCTGGACCATCTCTGGGAAGAGTCTGAGACAACATCCTAAATGCCTCCCCTGGTCGCTGTCTTCTTTTTCCAGGTTGGACAGCAACAGTCACATTAACCTACTGAGGACTTCCACAAAAGACAGATTGCCTCATTCCTAGCACCTGGGCTCCATCTCACCCATCCCCACTCTCTCTTCCCTTCTCAACATCTCACAAGGGGGAGCATTCTCCATGGCTAACCCCAATCAGATATTCTGTTTTACCAGAATGTCCTAGAAATTCCTGAATTGCTCAACACCTAAATCATTGAATCTAAGCTCCTTCTCCTACTCACAAAACACCAGAACTAGCTGGTTCTGAGATTCAGAAAATGTAATCATTGTCTCTATAATTCAACTGTATGTGCATTCACCACCCAACCTTGACATAGAACCCAAAATTCAGGCTTGTGTACCCAACGTACAGCTGATGCCAACACTGACACACAGGTGCTTGGAAACAGAGAAAGGTTTACTTAATGTGGTCAAAACAAGAAGGCAGGAGGGCAAGATCTCTCAAATTTGCCTTAAGTAAAGAAGCAGAGAGTTTTTATGTGGCTAGAGACTAAGAGAGGGGGAGTTTCAGGGAACCAAGGGGAAAAGTCTGTGTTTCTTCACTCTCAGATAACATCTAAAACAACCAGACTTCTGGGAGTCAGCAGCTATTCACAATGTCCTGAAATACATTTATGTCTTCTTTTAAACTTTTTCTGTGACCCTGAAGTTAACTCCTGCTGCTTGACAGAGAAATGGTACATCAGCAGTTTATAATTATGTTGTGGGAACTAAGAATATTGGGCAAAAAGCAAGTGCAGGCACACAAGGGCCTGATCAGAATTGTCGTTATTTCAGTCACTAAAAATGCTTGGATGCTGAGATCTCAAGGGGCCCAGTTACAAATCCCCACTATCCTTTTCCATTCCTCATTCATGCAGGAAAAGCGGTGTCATTCTTTTCTGGCTACTTCCTGCTGAAAAGGGGCAAAGGTATGGAAACTGAAGAATGGAACCTGTCCACTTGAAACTGAAAGTGTTCACAGGGGCCGGACCCATAGCCTGCATTCTGGAATTCCATCATCTGGGTACTCTTACCTGTTATAGTCTTGGAGCAGCATGTTAATCCATATTTGATGATGACATTAATGAAAACATAAACTACGATAACAATACAAGATATAAGCCAAATGTAAAGATACCAGAAAATATAGATTGGATCCCTTGTGAGATCCAAGAAAACAGTCCAGAATACCAGTCACCCAATCCTAGTTCATCTTTTATCTGTTGCCACCATGACACTTGCTCTCTTATTTTATCCATATGCATTTCAACTTCAGCCAAGGTGTTAATGTAAGTGCAACAGGAGGAGTTGGCTTTGTTCAACCGGTGGGTAATCTAATGCTATCCCAGTGTCTAAACAACTTTAGCTAGAGAATCCAAAGACTTGCTGTGCTGTGATAGCAACACCAGTTTCATTAGCGCTGATCCTTAAAGTAATGGACACATTTCTAAGCACATGGTGATGAGCAGCCACTCCCCACCGTGGGAGCAAAGTCAATCTGAAGAAGTACCCTGTGTCATCAGGAATCCCTCCTGGCAAATCCCCTTCAGAGACCACCCCCTCCCTGACAGATGGAATCTCCTCCCAAAATCCCTTGGGAGACCCTGGACAACAGTTTTGGGGAACTTGTCCAGTGTTTGGTAACAGTTTCATTGTGTACCGAGAAAGGTGTCACTGAGCCCTTTAAACATTGTCCACGATTTCCTCTCCTAATGCACCCGCAGGCCCAGGGCTGGTTTTCCTGACTGCAGACGGAAACGTATCCCTTAGGAGCAGGTTGGGTATGGTGGCACACATCTGTAATTCCAGCACTTTGGGAGGCCAAGGCAAGCGGATCACTTGAGGTCAGGAGTTCAAGACCAGCCTGGCCAATATGGCAAAACTATGTCTCTACTAAAAATACAGAGATTAGCTGGCCATGGTGATAAATGCCTGTATTCCCAGCTACTCAGGAGGCTGAGGCACGAGAATCACTTGCACCCAGGAGGCAGAGGTTGCAGAGTCCTTAAATACATTTGTTTCTTCTTGAGGAAGCATTCATGTGGGCACTCTCCCTTATTTACTGCTCTGATTCAGTGCACTCCAGCCTGGGTTTCCAGAGAGGAACTCGAAAGAGAGAGAGAGAGAGAAAAATCCCTCAGGAGCACAAAGCACAGTGTCTGTAGTTGAGGCAGTCATTAAAGCCATTTTCCCTAGCCCTGGATCTGTTAGACAGTTGCCACACTCAGGGAAGACTGGACCTATCCAATGTCCTTCCTGTGCTATGAAACTGGGGTCAAATGGAGTGTTATCCAGATCACTATCCAGTGAGAATTGTCACAAAGGTCGTGGTGATTTACCCCAGCATGTGCAAATCCAAAAGCACGCAAAAATCAGGTACGTGTCTTCACTCCAAGCGATCCTTGCACCAAAAGTGGTCAACACTGACAGGAAGGGAACCAGTGAGGGGTGTCCCCCGGGCAAAGTGCCTGGGCAGCTGTGGGGACTCCCTGTGCACTTAGATCCTGGCTGGGACTGCCCAGTTATGAGAGCAGCTCATAATTCTGATAAAGTAGATTGTTTTTATCAGACTGAGCAAGCAAGAAGCTCCAAAGAGAGTGAACAGAAGATGGAAGTCATAGTCTTTTGTTTTGTTTTTAGACGGAGTCTCACTTACTCTGTTGCCCACGATAGAGTGCAGTGGTGCAATCTCGGCTCACTGAAGCTTCTACCTCCTGGGTTCAAGCAATTCTTCCGCCTCAACCTCCCGAGTAGCTGGGATTATAGGGGCAGCAACACACCTGGCTAATTTTCGTATTTTTAGTAGAGACGGGGTATCACCATGTTGGCCTGGCTGGTCTCAAACTCCTGACCTCAAGTGATCTGCCCATCTCAGCGTTCCAAAGTGCTGGGATTACAGGTGTAAGCCACCATGCCCAGCCAGTCTTTTTTACTGATACATAATTGTCATACATATTTATAGGGGGCATGTGATATTTTCATACATGCACACAATGTATAATGATCAAATCAAAATAATTGGTATATCCATCACCTGAGGCAATTATTATTTCTTTGTGTTGGGAAAATTCCAAAGTTTCTCTTGTAGCTATTTTGAAATATACAATAAGTTATTGTAGTCATAGTCTTTTGTACTCTAATTTCAGAAGTGACATCCCAACATTTTTCATGATATCACTGCTCATTAGAATCAAGTCACTAGGCTCAATCAACACTCAAGGAGGAGAATACACAAAGGCATGAAAACCAGGAAGTGGAGGTCTTTGGAGTCATCTTAGAAGTCTGACTACCAGCAGGAACAACTTGCCCATAGTCAAATACAGTGAGAGCTTAAAGTCTCAGTTCTTGGCCGGGAGTGGTGGCTCATGCTTGTAATCTCAGCACTTTGGGAGGCCAAGGTGGGTGGATCACTTGAGGTCAGGAGTTCAAGACCAGCCTGGCCAACATGGTGAAACCCCATCTCTACTAAAAATATAAAAAAAGTTAGCCAGGTGTGGTGGCACACACCTGTAATGTTAGCTACTTGGGTGGCTGAGGCATGTGAGTCACTTGAACCCATAAGTGGAGGTTGCAGTGAGCCAAATTTACGTTACCACATTCCAGCCTGAGAGACTAAGTGAGACTCTGTCCATCGCGCCCCCAAAACATCTCAGTTCTAGAACTGGGAAGATTTGTTTAGAGAAACAGGGTGGGCAGC